AATACTGACACTAAACGCCAAATCTATTATGTATTGCATAAGTAACATAATGATCCAATCAATCTTCTATATTGAGTAGGATCCATATTTTTCTCATCTTCACTTTTGGATAGCTGTAACCTTGCTTCAGCTGGTGCATTGGTAGCATTGCAATTCTCTATATCACACCTTTTCAAAATCTCAAGAGCATACTTTCTTTGATGCATAAGCAGTCCCAATTTTGACTTGTGGAACTCTATGCCAAGGAAGTATGTTATAGTGTCAAGGTCACTCATTTTAAACTCTTCCAAAAGTTCACTCTTGAACTTAAAGATACTCAACTCATTGATGTCCTTGATCAATAAATCATTCACATATAAGCAAAGTATGATCACATCTTTTCTTGCATTCGTCTTCACATAGACACCATGCTCGAAAGCACATTTCTTGAAGCCAACATTAACTAGGAAAATATTAATGTGTTTGTTCCAAGATCTAGGACCTTACTTCAAACCATAAAGTATTTTGTTCAGTTTGTAGACTCTTCACTCTTGATTTGTCACAACAAAACCAGGGGGGTGTTCTACATAAACTTCCTCCTCAGGTGGACCATTCAAAAATATAGATTTCACATTTATTTGATAAATCGATCAATTGTTATAATTCGCAATTCCAACAACTAGCCTTATGGTTTCTATCCTATCAACAAGTGTAAACACCTCATCAAAGTCTATACCTTCTCTTTGCAAAAATGCATTCGCAACTAGTCGAGCCTTATGCTTGATTATTTCACCTTTGAGATTTGCCTTCACTTTGTAGACCCATCTCACATAGATTGGCTCCTTTTATTCCGGTAGATCAACCAACTCCCAAATACTATTTTTCTCAATCGATTCCAGCTCCTCTTTCACCGGACACACCCACTTTGTATCACTTAATGCTTCTTCCGTGCAAACGGGCTCATATTCGGCCATAAGAACAAAGTGGACAAAATCACCATCATCATTGATCTCCTTATCTTGGAATACTTCAAAATCTTGGAGTCTCTGAGGCAAACCCCTTTGCCTAGTTGGTCACCTACTGTTTTCCCCGATTTTGGCTTCGACAGGTTATTGTACAGGACCTCGTGCAACCTGATTTTTTTCATTTTCATTGTCGTGATCAGTTACAGATTCTTGTAACATGTTACTCCCTTTGTCATATCAGTTCCAGCAACTTCAGAAAACAAAAAATTGCACTAGTGATCGGTTACGCCATTCTGTTAACCGATTACATATCCTGTCAAACCAATTTTTTTTGCTGCCACAACGCCTTAGTTCATTGACCATAACATCTCGACTAATCACGATCCTCTTGTTTGCAACATCAAACAAATTATAACCTCCATTTAGATGATAACCAACAAGCAACATCATCTCACCTCTATCATCCAACTTCTTTCAAAGCTGACCAGGAATGTGTCAAAATACTACCAAACCGAAAACTCTCAAATGACTTAAGTTTGGTTTAAATCCGGACCATACATCTTATGAAGTCACCTTATAAAGCTTCTTTATAGGGCACTTATTCAACAAATAGGCGGCTGTAGAAACGACTTCACCCCATAGCTCCTTCAACAAGTATTTTCCCTTTAACATGCTTCAAACCATGTTCGTTATCGAACGATTTTTCCTCTCTGCAACACCATTCTGCTATGGCGTATATGGTGGAATAACTTCATGCATTATCCTTTCTTCATCACAATACTTCCCAAAATCATTCGAGGTATATTCACCTCCACCATCTGTTTTGAGAATTTTAAGTTTGTGACTACTTTACCGCTCAACCATGGACTTAAACTTCTTAAACACATAAAATACCTCATCCTTTCTCTTTATTAGGTATGTCCATAGTTTCCTACTAAAATCATCGATAAAAGTGACAAAGTACCTATTGCCACCATACGAGTTGACTTGCATTGGTCAACAAACATCAAAGTACACCAACTAAAGGTGATGTTAGGTCCTATGACATGCATCCTTGATAAAACTACCCTTATGTTGTTTCCCTTGCACACACTCTTCACATATCTTAGCTGGAACATTAATTTTTGGCAACTCGATTACCATATCATCCCTTTGTAACACGTCGAGGTCTCAAAAATTGAGATATCCAAGACGGTAGTGCCACAACCATTCATCACGACTTGCCACTGTAGCAAGACACCTATGCTTTATCACTTTCAACTCTATGGTGAAAGTCTTATTGGCAGCCATAGGTGCTTTAAGGACTAAACCCCTGTTTTGGTCCAAAACACACAAAATCTTGTTTTCCATGTGAATCATGTAATTCTTCTCAAGAAATTGGCCAAGTAATGACCATCATCCCTTCTCATGATCAAAACATCATCGACCCTTTCGGCCATTAAAGTGGTATCGTCCGCGAATTTCACCTTATTCTTCGTGGCTTGATTGATTTTGACAAATCAATTCTTTTTACCCGTCATATGTGTTGAACAAATAGAATCCAAGTACCATTCATCACTTTCTTGGACTCCATCTCAAATCGTTACCATTACGTTTTACTCTGTGCGCGTTTCTGCACCATTCCTCGAACTACTGCAGTTGTTGTCCAATAACTTGTAGCTGCTATTGCTGTTGTCCAGCAGCTTATTAATGCCATAATTCTCCTTTGTGATCATGACCAAAAGCATGTGTCGAGCAACTTTGCTTCATCACTTTGATTTTCCCTTGATTTCACATTACAATCTCTTGCGAAATGACAAAGTCTATGATAATTGTAACACTTCACATTATGATTGTCAATTTTCTTGGTGTAGTTGCCTTGACCACTACTTTTGGAGTTGCTCTCACCTCTTTTCCCCATCGAACCCTTCTAATTTTATGAATCTTTTCCACCAAAATTCTGAAATTTTGCCTTTCCTTTCGAAGGCCATTTTCCTTTCAATATTTTACTCTTCTCGTTGAACTGTGCTTGCAATGAAATCTCCGTTTTAGCCTTGTCATTTCTCCTTTCATGCATCCTTTGTTCATGAGCCTCAAGAGAGCTTTGAAGCTCCTCTTTGCTCAATGTCGGAAGATTCTTTGACTCTTCGATTGCCACTACAATGTTGTCAAATCTTAGTATCAAAGAACGCAAGATTTTCGATACAATATTCTGCTTCGAAATTGTTTCTTCTCAAGACCTCATTTGATTCACCAAATGCGTAATGTGCATTACATATTTGTTGATTGTCTCTTTCTCTTCCATTTGAACCAATTCGAACTGTCGCTTGTGAGTTTGTAACCTCGTCACTTTTGCTTTATCAACCCCTTCATAAGCTTTATTCAAGATCTCTCATACTTGCTTTGCGGAATTGCAATCGCCAACTTTTTCAAAGTTGTCACCATCAACACAAGAATGAATCAAGAAGAGTGTCTTATATTCTTTCTTCTTCTCTTCCTTGTGTGTAGCCTTCCGAGCATTTGTAGCTTCGGCCTCAAGTGGAGTAATTCCATTGTTGACCACTTCAAGAACATTTTGATAGCCAAACAACACATTCGTTTGTTTTCACCATTTATCATAGTTATTTGAATCAAGGGTTGAAAGATTAATGGGGATTCGATTGTTGGAGACGGTACTCATCTTTGCAGCAGATTATGGATCAGAACTAAGACTCTTGATGTCAAATGTTAGAACATACACAAATTATATTGGTGAATCAATGGAGAAAAAGTGATTATTGAAGAAGATGAAGTGAGAAAATAAGAGAGAGTAATTAAGGTTTAGAATAGAATATGATATTAAACATTCAATGTTACAAGCTAACCAAAACAAGTGGTGAAACAAAAACAACTTAAAAATAAACTAAATACCCAAACACGGATTCGTATCGGTTACGCAAAATATAATAATCGATTACACATTCGATAACTAGAAAAACAGAATTAAAATTGTCTTCTGTAACCGTTACACTTTTTCACGTAACCCGTTGCGCCTACCGAAAAAACTAAACTCTATATTCTAAAAATACTTATTTTTTAAACTGTTTCCACCAACATATTTACAGAAACTTACACAATATATTTAAATTATTATGTACATCCAACAAATCTTACAATTACATCATATTTCTATTGCGTTTGAAGGACAATCCACCGCATCGGAAATGTAATATGTGTCGGAACTCCATTTTCTTTCTTCATCAACCATCTATGATTCCTTGAGCGAAACAAGTCAAAATAAATAAATATATATACAAATAAAATTGATAAATGACATATTTATAATACAAGAGATATGTAGTATGTGCTTTTTTTCTTTCAATTTTCACCTTGAAAACAAAACACACGTAGTATATGATACAACCTTATAGCACATGCGAAGTGACGAAGAAATATCATGTATTGATATATTAATATTGGGGTAACACCTCACGACATATATAATAAAGAAGTGAGGCCCATGTATATCCACGTAGCACCTATTGGTTCATTAGCCACTAGTTTAGCTTCATTTAACAACTAGTAATAGGATAAATAGTAAATTAAATATTCAATAAATAAATATTTGGTTTTTGATAGATTACTTGAGAAAGTGGGACAAGCATGCTCTTTAGTCACTATATAAGTGAGACAAAGAAAAATCTCACCCATAAGGGTAATATATTATAAAAAGGTGTCACAATAACTAATCATGTGAGTTGGACTTTTGAAATTCATTGTATATTAAATTGAGAAAAAGAAAGAAGAATGAATGGATAGAAAATAGTGGTGGGGTCCACCCTTACTATTTAAATCAATTAATTATTTGGGTCCACATTGGCTTTTAAATATATAATATTCAAAGTTTTATGTTTGTATTATATAATATATTTGTTCCGTTCTATCATAATTCTTTTTTAAAATAATAAAAAAATTAATTATTTATGAAATTATTTAAAAAAGAATACCTTATCAATTTAAACAAATTATTATTGGTACATCCAAGTTGGGCCAAAAAATCAGAGAAAAGACTATTACTAACCATTGGGGACCCTTCCATTATCTTGAAGAACCACAGGTTAATTTCCACCGTCTAAAACAAATTCAGTAAATGAATCCATCAATGATTCAATTGAAATTCAACATGTCACTATGGATGGACAAGATGAATAAAATTTTGACAAAAAATCCAAATGAAATAAATATTACTATTCTTGGCACAAAACCTTAACTGAATAACATGAATGAAACTACCAATTACTCGGAAGTTTATATTCTGTAACAAAATGGTACCAAGAAACTGGTCTGGTTGGAAACAGAACCTGAAACAATTGGTTACTGTTAGAGCCTTTGATTTGAGAAAGAATCGTGATCATGTATATTTGTAAAAACGTGTTACGATGCAAAAAGAGGTAATGCTTCAGAAGAGTTAAGTCGATAATTCAGCAAGAAAACAGAAGATATTAAATAGGATAGAGAAGAAGAGAGATCAGTGGTACTGTATCTGTGTAGTACTGTGGTGGAGCAGATGAAGCAGGAAATGTGGTGTTCCCCTAACCAGGCAGAGTTGTTTGTTTCTTTCTGATCATCACTTCCATTCCAGCTCAGAGCTGGTGGATTATATGACACTTGAGTCTCATTCAAATATTTTCATTTTCATGCAATATGTATTGTGTCTCTCTCTCTCCTATTTATATTTATACAGGAGTGGGACAAAAGGAAAGAAAATATCTATTATTAAAATTAACATAATCAATTAATTTTCAATATCTGTCAAAAGAAGAAAAAAACGATAGTCACTAAAAAAAGTTCAAATACTTTAATAGGAATTATTTAATATTGTTAAAATTTTAATTAACTATCATATACTCCTTCAAAGCCAAACAACACTTAACTTCACATCAATAATGTAATAAATATGGTTTAAAAGGTAATTCGAATCATTCCTTCAAATTTCAAAATTTATTTATGTTTTTATTGTAGGTGTATCTAAAAATTTTAAGAATGATTTGTATTTTGAATTGTTTGTGAGGTTTAAGACGAAAAATTCAATGATATGATAGAGACAATAAAGTGTCGAGTTTCTCATTTCTTTTACGAAAATAGATAATATTGCCCATTAGAGTTTTGTTAACCATTTCAATCAATCGGATGACTATCCACGATCACGATCTGCTCTTCACTCCACACTTATCATTGTCAACCATTATCCTATTTAAGAGGGAAAACATGTCATTTTCAAGTATTCAAATACATTCTCACTCACAGAATTATTCTCATTCTCTTAACGTTAAAATGATAAACTTGCAGGTCGGCCCCTTCTCCGCCGCATTGAAAGCACATAATTATTGTAGGAAACTTTGCTTCCTCGTTTACCGATCAATTTTGATTCCAATACAAAGCATTGGCGCCATGTGTGGGAATTGAGATCTAACTCCCTCGAATTTCCACTTCGGATCTCCTTCGCTAGAAGTTCATATCTCCTCTAGTAGAACTTCAAATCTCTTCTATTAAAAGTTTAGATCTTTGTTTCTCGATCACCTTCCTCGAATCTCAACATCCTTTCCATCAGATCCATCAACTAAGGGGGCATCGAAAGCCACTTGCTCTACCATTCAACTACAAACTATTGTCGTCACTGCTGAAGCTACAAAAGATCTAGTTCCTATTCCTCAAATAATGGACGGCCCACTCTTGGTAGCATCCTCGTCCACTCTTTTACAATAAGATCATGCTCAACCCAGACTAGGTCAGGGAGTATTTCAAATTCTTTTGCTCTAATCCACACAACAATTTCATCAAGGTAAACCTTCACATAGACCTCCACCACTACATGTAATTCCCAAACAAGAAACGCTCCCCAATATTTAGCTATTACACCCTAACTTTAGAGAGAAGGGAGTCATTGATCTGCTGAACAATGTCTACAATCTGGTATAACATTCTAACTCACAGTTCTTTGATGAAAGGATGTTTAAAATCAAAGAGAGCATACAACATGTTAATCTGGAAAAAAATCCCGTGTAGACAACAACCTCTCGAAGAAATCAAGCCCTCATTCTTAAGTCAGCCTCCATCAGAGCACCAACGCTGCAAAAAAAGTTCCAAGGTCATCGGGCCACCGTCATCACTGAAGACACGATACTCCTCCCCCTGGTCGGGAATGGGGAAGCAGTGGCTATACTCCTTAAGAGGTTTATCATCGTCATAGGAGGGAGAGGCATGACGAAGGTGATCTGGCCCTAGAGAGGAAAAGAAATCCCCAATCTACTCGCATTTTGATAGTATAATTCCAAGGTCTCTAGAGAAACCACCAAAACCTCAAAGCTACGATGTGATCGATGATCTAGGCGAACAAATCAAGCACATGGATGATCGATTGGACTACTACCATGTTCATGGGGATTTAAAGTGAAAGCTCTTTGCATTAACTCTGACAAGATTAGAAATATATTGGTTTAAGGTCCTCCCTAATGGAAGCATATGTAACACCTTAAACTCTAACATACAATTTATAATATCATCAAAGTATTTTTTTCTCAAAAACGGTGTCACATTTTCTCAACATAAAACATTTTCCTCAAATTATGATTAATAGCAGCGGAAATTAAATAATTAAGAAGCACAACTTTTTTGTCTCATCAAAAAAGAATTCACTTCAACTCATAAAACACTAGTTTAGGTAAACTTGACCACTCGTAGAATAAAGTAAACAAATGATCCCAACCTAAGTGTTACACTATCAGAGCGACACAAGGTAACTAAACAATGTGAAAAATAATAAGTGAAGAAAGCCATTGGCCATCTTCCACATAAGGAGCATCTAAGTATCATCAGTTTCTACCCGAGTATTTACACCATTGCTTAAACATATTATTCATCAATCACATAGATTAATTTACAATAATAAACAATCACAAATGAAAATATATTATGCAATGCAATTCTCCTATTCTACTCTAATGTATATCGTGCCAAGGTTTAAATGTTTGAGTTGTATTACTGATTGATACATCTTCTTTGGATCCTCTATAAACCAACATTTCCTCTCTTAACCAATGATTCCTCTCTGAATCCATGACCCTCACTGGACCAAAGTCCTACATATCTCTGATATACATGGTTCCTCTTAGAATCCACAACGTCGCTAATAAAAGGCCTCCATTGTAGTTCCTCTCTGAACTACATATCTCAACATAAATATCGCCAATATAAGGCCACCATAATAGTTCCTCTCCAAACTAATTATCTCAACATAATTCAATGTGATATATACTTACAACTCAATAATATTTATAATTATATAATTACTCAACAATACTTATCAACAGTATAAATATAACACTAGACATCCATCAACATTCAATAGGGTCAGCTCATAACGCAACATAGCTCAGAATAACTCTTTCTTTTTATTCAAGAATAAAGAGTCACAAGGCATACTCTAACTTTAAATCATAATAACTCTAAACAAAATCAACCCAACTCTAACAAGTAAGATAACTCACAATTCAACTCTAAAACTGTTTCCTGCAAATGGAAAAAGGTTTATCATAACCCCCGCCTTAAACTCTAAAATTGTCTCACTGCCTTTTGTCAAGGGTTTCCCTAAACCCTCGCCTTAACTCTAACAACCATCAAGATTTACAAAAGGAAAAGCTCTAAACATATCATACTCAACTCTCTTAATTCAAATCTACTATAAATATAAAAATCTCAAGTCTCTTAATTTAAATCAAATCTAAAACGTATTAACTAAATCAAATTAGATTTATTTATAAATATACTCAATTCCTTAAATGGCTAAAGGTTTTCCCAAAACTCTAGACTTAACTCTAAAATTGTCTCACTTTACAATAACAACAAATATTATAGACTTATGATAAATTATAAAACTCTCTAGTTTAAAATTTCTCTAAACCCTCTTTCAAACTCAATTGACTGCATCTCAACCAGAGTTACAGAACTCCAGTTCTATTCGTTTTAGTTCAGCCATATCTCAATATTTCTTACTTGTCATACATCATATTTGAATAATTATTTAAAATAGAAAACATAGTCGGTTCAAGAAAATGAATATGTATTAGAAATCTTATAGTGTTTATTTTAAGAAAATCAATTTTATTTGAAGACTTAAGATCTCAATCGGTATAGTTTAATCAAATAATAGTAACTAGTGTAGACACCAGACGTAATGTTTGCAACTATTCATACCTCAGGTTCGAACAATTCCTTAAAATATCAAATAGAGTATAAATAAAGTAAATGGATATGGTTTGGAAAACTTAGAATGCCTATTATCATACTATAATATTTATTTTTGGAGTTAAGGTCCCAATTGGTACAATTTAATCAAATAATAGTAACTAGTGTAGACACCAGACGTAATGTTTGCAACTATTCATACCTCAGGTTCGAACAATTCCTTAAAATATCAAATAGAGTATAAATCAAGTAAATGGGTATGGTTTGGAAAACTTAGAATGCCTATTATCATACTATAATATTTATTTTTGGAGTTAAGGTCCCAATTGGTACAATTTAATCGTATAATGGAAAATGGTACAGACACCGGGCATAATATTTTATTAGAATTGTAACTAGTATTTCTCCTACTGAAGTTAATTAAATGTGATACTTATTAAGTTTAATATGTAGTAAATTTGGTCTATTTTCTTATGATATAGATTTTACTCTTAAAGGACTCACGAAAATCAAGTTATGCATGAAACAAGACAACTAACGTATGACTGAAATTTGACTAGACTTCTGGTAAAAAAACCAAATAACTGTTATTGTTGTAGCACTCTGATAAGTGCCAAAAATATCGTTATTTTCAGTCGTATTTTTTGGCACTTATCATTTTGTTTTTTTGCATAAATAAGTAAAATCTCACTTTGTCTGTAAATATGTATATTTTGTGTATAGTTGACTTATCGTGTAAATATTGTATCATTTGATAGTTTTTATGTCTTTTTATAGGTATTTATTTCATGGTTGGAGCATCGAGTAATAAGAGCCGAAGGCACAACTTCAAATATGTGTTTTCTGAATAAAAGTCTGCCAAACCCACTAAGCCCATCTTGTAGCGCGCCACAAGAAGTTTTGCTCTGGGAGGGGCTGTTTTATTGAGCCCGCTTAGCATGGTTAAGGTGGTTTAAGTGTAAATAGCAGTGAGAGCCTGCTAAGTTGGCTCAACCCGCTTAGCACGGTCTGTAATATCACCGAATTTAAAATTATTTATTTAATTAATTATTTGTGATTATTTGTGTGATGTTAGGGGTGGAAATAGGCTAGTCTTTATAAGGTATTAGTCTGGCCTATGATAAACTTACAAGGCCTAAGCTTGGCCTATGGCCTACTATAGGCTCATTTTTTAGCCTGCCCTGACCTAAAATCCTATTTAAAGCCTGTTTCTCATTAAGGTTTTCAATAAATTCATATTATTTAAGAAGCCTTATAGAACGATCTATATATGCATATACAGACCGACCTATTTAGCATTTTTTCTAATATATATATATATATATATATATATATATATATATATATATATATATATATATATATATATATATATATATATATATATATATATATATATATATATATATATATATATATATATATATATATATATATATATATATATATATATATATATATATATAGGCGGGCCTATAAGGCTTCATAGACTTTTTTAATAGCCTAAGTCTGACTTATTTAATTAAATATACTTTTATAAAAGCCTAAGCCCGACCTTTTTAGTAAATAAGCTTGGCCTGACCTCAAATAGGCTAGGTCATAAGCCCCTGTAGGCCGACTTGACCTATTCCCACCCTTAGTGATGTATGATGATATGATGTGGGGTAATATTGGACTAACGTACTAATTAGAATTATTTAGATTTAACTAATTTTAGTTTATATTATTCAGAGTTATAATAATAATTAAATGGAATAATTATTTAGAATTATTTAGATATAATTAGTTGTGTTAAGGCTATGATGGTAAAATATGATGGTGAGTGAGGGCATAAGGGGAATAACATAGAAAGGGTCTAAGGGATAACAAAATAAAAAGAGAAAATAAGAGAGGTAGGTTCATTCTGTATGATCGTAGAAATTGGGAGAAAGTACAAGAAGAGGCTATGCTTACAAAGAACCAAGTGGAAACTCTGTAGAACGTGAAAGAAGAGAATCAAATTGCTAGGACTACGAGGTAAGAGGTGTAATCAAATTTATTATGATTGGTAGAGGGTTAAGGTAGATGTAGGGTTTTCTTTATGTGACTAATTTGATGAAATATATGATGAAATTGTTAATGATGATGTTTGTGTACTATGATTTCTATCTATAATGATGTAAAGATGTTAATATATGATGTATGGTGATTAAAATGCGTTTTGGACTGAGTATGATGCCTAGAATTGGAGTTGGTATAGTGTAGACAGAAGAGAAATTACAACTGATAAGTTTCTGATTCTCTATTATCATCGGGTGAGTCTGATGCGAGCACGGGGCGAGTGAGTCACCTCAGCGTCGCTCGGCGAGCCAGCTGGCGAGTAGGATGGTCGAAAATGTGAGCTTCTGGAAATTGTATGTTAGGGGATCGT